TCTGTCACCCAGGCTGACATACAGTGGCACAATCTCAGCTTGCTGCAACCTTCGCCTCCCGGGTTCAAGCAATTCTCCCTGCCTCAGCCCCCTGATAGCTGGGATTACAGGTGCCCACCACCACATTCAGCTAATTTTTGTATTTTTAGTAAAGACAGGGTTTTGCCATGTTGGTCAGGCTGGTCTCGAACTCCTGACCTCAGGTGATCTGCCCACCTTGGCTTCCCAAAATGCTGGGATTGCAGGTGTGAGCCACCGCACCTGGCCAAGAAAAGAGATTTCTTTGGCTCATTATTCTGCTGGCTGGGAGACTGAGCATCTGGTGAGGGCGTCCACCCCTACGACTCAAACACCTCCCATTAGGTCTCACCTCCAACACTGGGGATCACGTCTCAACATTGGAGATGGCGGGGACAAATATCCAAACGATAGCATCCAGGCACTGTGTCTGAGAAGAGGGGTGCTGTCCACACATGTGCACACAGACATGTCTGCTCTGGATCTCCTCACACCAGCAGGGAATTTGTTGAAATGCAGACTCTGATTCAGGAGGTCTGAAATAAGGCCCGAAACACCACATTTCTAAAATTTCCCAAGGGAGGCTGCTGCTTCTGTGCATGGACCACTTCTTTGCATAGTGAGGTTTATAGCAGGTGCACAGACTCAAACACCTGCCTGAGCCAGACAGGTGATGTTGCTGTGGAACCCAGGTGTGGGACGTGGGAAATGGTGGGTCACTCACTGGGCCAGGCTCGTCCTGCCTAGAGGCAAACTACAGTTTCTTTCTTTGTTTTTTGAGACAGGGTCTTGCTCTGTCACCCAAGCTGGGGTGCAGTGGTGCGACCTTGGCTCACTGCAGCCTCTGCCTCCCAGGTTTAAGTGATTCTCCTGCCTCAACCTCCCAAGTAGCTGGGATTACAGATGTGTGCTACCATGCCTGGCTAATTTTTGTATTTTTGGTAGAGACAGGGTTTTGCTATGCTGGCCAAGCTGATCTCGACCTCCTGACCTCAGGTGATCCATCCACCTCAGCCTCCCAAAGTGCTGGGATTATAGGCATGAGCCACCGCACCTGGCAAGCTACGGTTTCTATAAAAGCACTGTTCCATGAACAAACACATCTGCATGCTGAATTCAGCCCTGGGCACCTTGTTCAGACCCCTACTCTAGAGTTCAGATCTCAGGGGCTTGCAGATAAACTAATCTGGTCACTCATTGAGTCCTTCCGTAGCTTCCCAGCTAGTAGTTGACTTGCCAGGATTGTTACAAGAGTGGGTAGCTGTGATTTTGGACCAGCTTGTCCCATTGTTGAGAAGACCAGATTAGAACTGGCTCTGCCGCTTACTGGTGGCGTGAATTTGAGAGGAAGGAGAGAGTGTCAGTGTGCCAATGTTTAAGTGCCTGCACCATTCTATGCTTTGTGCATGATTCCATTTGAATTGTCTCATCTGTCTTGCAGAAGTGGTTCATCTGCTCCATTTTACAGGTGAGAACAGTGGAGTTGAAGAGCTTAACTAACCAGTCCTGGCAGCCCAGTTACTACTTTGTGAAGTGGGGATTCAAACTCAGGACTGCCAGCCTTCATCTTAGTCCATCTGTGGCATTTTAACAGAATATCTGAGACTGGGTAATTTATAAATGATAGACATTTATTTCTCACAGTTCTGGAGGTTGGGAAGTCCAAAATCAAGGTGCTGGTAGGTTCAGTGTCTGGCAAGGGCCTGGTCTGTGCTTCCAAGGTGGTGACTTGAATGCTATGTCTTCACATGGTGGAAGGGATGGAAGAGCAAAAAGGGTCGAACTAACTTCCTCAAGCCCTTTTATAAGTTCAGGAATCTGATCCATGAGGATGAAGCCCTGATGGCCTTATCACCTCACAAAGGCCCTACCTTTCAATACTATCACCTTGGGAGTTAAGTTTTGACATGTAAATTTTGGAGGGGACACCAACACTCACACCAAAGCCCTCTCTGAATAATACAGGGCTACTGTTTACTGTCTGTGTATGCCAGGCCCATGCGTTAGTTCTAATCTCACAGAAACCTTGCAAGGTATGTGGAATTATTCCTATTTTACAGATGAGTAAACTGAGGTTCAGAGGTTAAGTAACTGGCCCAATGATACGAAGAGTGGTGGAGCTGTGGTTTAAGCCCCTATCTAACTGATTCCATTCCCCTAACCCATGCTGCAGGGACAGCCAGTTTCAGGGGTCAAAACCTAGGGGTGACCTGAGGATGAGGAGGGGTTACCAGAAGTGGGACTTCAGCACCTTGTCGCCTTTTTTTTTTTTTTTTTTTTTTTTTTTGAGATGGAGTCTTGCCCTGTTGCCCAGGCTGGAGTGCAGTGGAGTCATCTCGGCTCACTGCAACCTCCGCCTCCTGGGTTCAAGCGATTCTCCTGCCTCAGCCTCCCCAGTAGCTGGGATTATAGGTGCCCACCATCATGCCCAGCTAATTTTTGTATTTTTAGTAGAGAGAGGTTTCACTATGTTGCCCAGGCCAGTCTCCAACTCCTGATCTCAGGTGATCTGCCCTCCTTGGCCTCCTAAAGTGCTGGGATTATAGGCGTGAGCCACCGCACCTGGCCTCTTTGTCTTCTTTCTGATTGTTACAATCAGCATATGGCCACTGTGAGCCTGGTAAGGCATGGACATCCATCCACCCTCACCCCAAACTGCTGAAGACATATCCCGGGTTCTGCTGATAGCGGAAGCCGCAAAGATGACGGCTATGGCAGAATCAGTCCCTACTTGGTGGAGCCCATGGAGCCACCTGTCAGAGCAGACGCCACAGCTGTCATGGACATGGGACTTAATTTCTTTCCTTTTGTCTCTGAAAAGTTTGTAATGTGGTAAGAGAGGAGCTGCAGGGAGCATGCATTTCCAAAGTTCTGTTGCTTTTTGTATGTTTGTTAATTCAACCCAGAATATACAAGAAGTTCTATTTATGAGCAGGGATAAAAGTGGAGCCTATGGCTTATGATTTTTTTTTTCTTTTTCTTTTCTTTTTTTGAGACAGTTTCACTCTGTCACCCAGGCTGGAGTGCAGTGGTGCAATCTTAGCTCACTGCAACCTCCACCTCCCAGGTTCAAGGGATTCTCCCACCTCAACCTCCTGAGTAGCTGGGACTACAAGCACTTACCACCACACCCAGCTAATTTTTGTATTTTTAGTAGAGACAAGGTTTCACCATGTTGGCTAGGCTGGTCTTGAACTCCTGGCCCCAAGTGATCTACCCGTCTCAGCCTCCCAAAGTACTGGGATTACAGGTGTGAGCCACCACACCTGGCCGGCTTATGATTTCTTTATGATGGACGAAGTGAAATAGCCTTGTGTTCTCCCAAGTAACACACACACACACGTGTGCACACACAGGCATGCACATGCATTCACACGTGTGTATATCTGCAGAGGGCCAGACTTATCTCGAATCACCCTTGGGAATCTGGATCATCCACCTTTGAGTTTTCTCCTCCTTTGAACTCCAAATCTAGTCTTTTGAATATGCTTCAGCATGATCGTTAGGGAAATGAGAGGCAGTGCCTCGCCTGTGCTTGGCCCTATGTCCAGACAGTACCTGAAAGGCGGCGTAGAGTTAGAAGAAACGGCCTGGAAAGCTGGAGTCTTTTAGCTAAAGGTTCCAGTGGCAGGTGACCCAGACCTTTGAGGTCGAAGGAGGTCTTGTTTAGCTCAGCAAATGTCTCCTGGGAAAAACTTTCCCCAGGCTTGATTTCATATTGACCCCAAACGACTTGAATCAGACATGCCAGAATTACAGCTACAATAGAGCAGTTAAGATTACAGCATGCTTCAGAAAAAGATAAGTAAACACAGTTTTTATGTCACTGGCATCTTCCTCCATACCTGCTTGGTGACTTCGCACCTGGGCTATGTGATAGCCTTTTCCTGCCTGCAGCACTCAGTGAATCGCGAGCCTCCCAGGGACACAAGAGACTTTTCTTCTTTGAAGCCTGTGCTGAATTCTAGGGTCCTCTCCTGCTGTAGCCACTGTAGGACCCACTCAGGACACCCGTGACAGAGCACAGCTTCTCAGTGTGCACACCGAGATTGTGCTCAATTCCCTTCTTTTCTCCTTTCCGCTTTCCAAGGGGAGAGACTGACACCTGAGCTTGGGCATCTTCACAGATGGAGGGTGGAAGTTTGCACACATTCTGCATTTTCTGGTCATGTTCCCCACTGTCCTCCGGTTCCACTAAGGGTCTTAGGAAAGGTGGGTGCGCCACTTTCTGAGATGCTTCTAGCTAGGGTCTTCCTCCACCCTCATCCCCTCTCAGGCTGGTTCCAGAGCCAGGTTCACCTGTCCTGGGGGTCCAAGGATGGACGATGGACTTCTTGGGAGAGCAAAGGGGTCAAGCCTAGTTGCTAGTTGCATAGATTGTTGAAGTTGGAGGGCCTTAAACTACTTTTGGTTCTAGCCTCTCATTTGACAGAAAAGGCTTTGAAGGGTGCCGTTCACAACCCAAGGAAGTGGCTGAAAGGGCCTTGGGATCTACTCTGAGGTTGCCTTTTCCCACTTCTCTGACTTGGTTTAGGAACTTTCTGAGATTTGGTTTTCTCCTCCATGCATTGAAGATGATACCTACTGCCTAGTTTTCTTGCGGGGTCAGTGATAATCCAGACATTCTACAGGGGAGAAATTAGCAGGTGTTCTGTTAAAGTTAGCTCTTCTAGTCTCTCCCTCCTTATTTTTCTTATGATACCCAATTCTCCACACAGATCATTTTCCCCACTAGGCTATAAATTCCTGGAGATCAGGGACCCCATAAAATTCATCTTGGGTTTCTCAGCACCTGGGGACAGTGTCTGGCATCTACCAGCGAGGTTTCAAATAACCTGTGTTGTGCAACCTGTCAGAGCACGAATGTCCCCAGGAGACTAGACAACAGCCCTCGGGGAAGGTCCCACAGCTGCCAAGTCTGGGACCTCACAGCCAGTTTCCTGCCGTTCGTTCCTTTCACAGAAGTACAGGAGCCATAAGGTTCATGGGACTTTTATTTTTACTGTTTATTTTTTGAAAGCCAGCAAGGATGGGCAAATGCTCAGTCCCTTCTGGGCTGCATTGCTCTACCACCAGTCCCCACCCACCTCCCCCATCCCACCCCCTACCTGCCAGCAGCTCAGATCACCTGGGTGAAAAATACCACTCTGTTGGCCAGCGTCCCTGTCAGCACCAGCTCCAGTGCCAGACCGCAAGATTGTCCGAGGAAAGGAAGGGCCATGATTCCCAGCAGGCCGTGGTTCAGCCCCTCCCTGGCATCCTTCACCCAGCTGGAGGGGCTCTCCTTCTCCTTTCCTGCCTTGTTGGAGGGGTGCTGTTCCCAGCCCTTCCTTTCCTCCCCAGATGGGATGCTCCTTCTCTCTGGGTGCGCCTGTCCTTATATCAGCACCAAATGATGCCCAGGTGGGCAGCCCTTGGGTACACCGTCCCCGCCTCACCTTTCCCTGCATCCTCCCCTTTTCCCGGTTGTCAGGGATTTTCCGTGTCTTCCGGTCTCAGAGGTATTGACCCTGAGGGTAAATCGGAGAAAGGAGGCCAAGGGGATTTCCGCAGCTCAGGGGCCATCATTCTGGAGTGTCAGGGGCGTTTATTCTTCACTGAGATGTCCCACTTCCCCTCCTGGAGGCAGATTCCTGCAGCCTGGGTTAGGTGCTCAGCTCTGGCCCCTCCAGTGGGATCCTTCCTGTGCACAGATCTGAGGAGTGCACCTGGCCACTCACCTGTCTTTTCTTCTGCAGCCAGCAGCTGGCTTGGGGCCCAAGACTCTGGTCTTCTGACTCCCCAGCCAGCTGCCTCCCTTCCTGGGATGTCCTGCCCCCCACCCCCACAAAAGTTGGATCACAGTGGCATGTCTGGGACCCCACAGCCAGTTTTCTGGCTGCAGAGCCTGGTCATTTTAGTCCTCTGTCCACTTGTGAATCTGCAGAAGTGGCAGGCGAGGCCCACGGAGGTGCAAGGGGCAGCGGCTTCCAGGTCTCAGGAGTGCTGTGCCTCCCTCCTGGCCTCCTCCTCCCTTAGCTAGGATGCCTGTCCCCTTTCCCTCCTTTTCCTCCTCCTCTCCCGCCTCCCCTCCTCTTCTTCCGCCTCCTCCCCTGCACCTGCCACTCCTCCTCCACCTCCTCCACGCGCCCCTCATCAGAAGACTCAGTCCCTGCGACCCCAGCAGCGTGGGGAAGGGGAGGGGAAGATAGGCTCCTCGGCGTTCCCCCGCGGGCTGCAGCCAGGATCCTGGGCCTGGACGGCGGGCGTCAGACGCTGTGCGCTCCCAGGCTGAGCACCGAGAAGGCGGCGCGGTGCTTGCGCAGCAGCAGGCGGATCTTCTCGTCGTCCGAGTCAGGGTCCAGCGGCTTGTTGTACTCGTCGTCCTCGTTCTCCGAGGGTGCGCGGTCCCCGCCTGCGCCCGCGCCCGCGCCGCCCGGGGCCCGGGGCGTGGAGGACGAGGGTTCCAGGGCGCTCTTCTTCCGCCACTTGGTCCTGCGGTTCTGGAACCACACCTGCGATGAGAAAGACTGTGAAGGGCACAGGGCCACAGCGCGCACGGGACGCGGGAACAGCCACCCTGCTACAGCTAAACAAATGGTTCAACAACCAAGTGACTGTCACATTCACGTTTCTGTTGGGGAAGGACAATAAAATTTAAAAACGTGAGCGCAAGAGCCCTCCCTCAACTCCCCCGTGTTGCTGCCGCCGCCTCCTCCTCCTCTTCCTCTTCCTCTTCTTCCGCCTGGGTTCTAGGTGGAAGATGCCGAGTGCAGGAGTGGAAGGCTTAGCCCTGGTACTCATTGGAAGGTGCTTATGAGCAGTCCCTCCTCTGGGCTTCATAGACCCTCACCCTACTTCATAAATAATTGTTCCCCTGGTTAGAAAAGTAACGTTGGTCCATTCCTTGGGATAGTTGAAGAGTGCAGGAATGCACCCCAGAAGCAGAAAGACGTGTAGGGAAGTCTGCCTCTTCCCCCCAGCTCTCGCCCCAGGGCAGTTGAGCGGCTGATGAGGAGGGCTTAGCGGGTGGGAGCTCGGAGGCCCCAGGACCCTGAGCAAAGCCCAGACCCAGGTGCCAGCTGCCCGTGCTGCATCCTTAGGCCCGTCGCCGAGTCACTGAGCCAGCAGTTCCTGCACAGTTCCGAGCTTTCTTGAGCTTCGGTGCCCCGACTCAAAGTCCCAAGAGAGATCTAGCATCAAAATGGGGAAAGTTGCCCCCAGACTCTGAGGCGGTAGAAACAGGTTTCCCCAGGTCTATTTAGGGGACATTTGGGGCCCCTGCGTGTGGAGTGGGAGAGCCTGGGTTCACCTTCCCTAGCCCTGGCATGGGCGACAAGGCTCCATGCTCCTGATAGCCCATCCAATCCTGCTTAGTAGGAGAAGGCGTTGTCTTCATCTTAAAGATTGGTAAACTGAGGTCAGCTCCTTTTGCTCCAGGCATCAAGCATGAATCTGGGCCAGAGGCTGCCGACAGTGCTTGGAATTTTTGGCAAAATACGGGGGGAGAGGGAAAGCCTGAGGTTGGAGTCCCCCCACATCTGGGGTTGAATCCCAGCTCTGCCAGCTCTCCCAGCTCTCTAAGCCGGGAGACACTGATCTTCATCTGCGAAATGGGTAATAATACCGTCTCCCCGGGTTGCTGAGATGATGAAATGAGGTGCCGCACATAAGGCTCTGAGAATGGGGCTCAGTGGATGATGGCCTTTTCCTGGCTATGGTTAATTACCACAGGCTCCAGGGTTAGGCAGGCAGGCAGTGCCCAGACACCAGTACAGCTGTGCTCTGGGGGACTGCGTTGTGTGGCCACCTCTCTCCAGCAAAGTGCCGTCCTGTCCAGCAGGCTCCTCCCTGCAGGGCAGGTGCCACCTCCCGCACAGACTTACCTTGACCTGCGATTCAGTCATGCCCAGGGAGTATGCCAGCCGCGCCCTCTCAGGGCCAGCCAAGTACTTGGTCTGCTCAAAGGTTTTCTCCAGGGCAAAGATCTGGTGCCCCGTGAAGGTGGGCCGGGTGTGCTTCTTCTTGTGTATGCTGTCACTTAGGGGATCTGGGGCTGGCAGGAGGAAGGAAGTGTGGGGTTAGTAGAGTAAGTGGGGACCCTGAGGCTAGGCACCACTGTCAGGGAAACAACCATGCCCGTCCTCTCCTTCCTGCAGAAGTTGCCAGGACACCAAGATTCCTTTCCCCTGAGCAGCATTCTTGATATTGGAGAACAGTGACTGTGACCTCTGCCCCGCCTGGGTGGACAGGGCTCCAAGAGGGCAGCTATCCTAGGGTAAGGGGACTGAGGGGCAGCAGAGCCTCATGCCTCTCTGTCTAAATTTCTCAATACTCACTGATGTTGCCTTCTCCTGAGGGGCAACAGGAGTTCCTTCTCTGTCCCAGGGATGTCCCTTCAGGTCACCCTTCTATAATTAGGGACCGGGGCCTGTGAATTCCCTCCACCCCTGGCTTCTGCCAACTTCCTTGCTCTTGAGACCCTACTTCCCAGGTCTCCAGGAAACCAGGGAGGGGGAACCCCAAGCCCCAAGCTGCTACTTCCCCATGTCACCAGGCCTGGAAGTTATGTGGCTTAAACCACCCTGGAGAGCCTGGAACAGAGGCCAGAGACCTCCAGCCTGGCCAGGGCAGCCAGCTTGAGAAGGAGTTGTGGAAAGTGGGCTCAGGGGAGTCAGAATTCCCATGTGTCAGGCCTCGTTCTGTGCAGTCTGACAGCTCAAGTTACAGGTGAGGAAACTGAGGCACAGAGAGAGGAAGGGCCCTCCTGAGAGATCATCTTCAAGTCTGTCTGCCTTTGCCTTCATTAGCCACTGACTTTCTTGGCTATGTCCCTGTGTGTGTACCTGCATTCAGGACTGAAGAGGTAGTGTGTGGGATATGGACAGGGGAGGGGGAGATGGAGGGAAGAGAGAGCCAGCTGAGGCTTAAAGCACCCCCGAAGCCAAGCCTAAAACAGGATCCGAGAGAGGAGGCCTTCACCTCAAGGGGCACAGGGATGGGTGGCAGCCCATGGAGGGGTGGCTGTCAGGCAGTGTGACTGGCAAGGCAGAGTAGCAAATGGGGGGACAGGTGTGCTTTTGGGGATTCCTAGGTTGGCCCCAAGCCCCTATTGGCGTGGGGGAGCCCAGAGATGAGACAGAAGTGGAGGCCGCTGCCTGACGTGGGCAGGGCTTCAGTGGCACAGGGAAGGTTCCAAAAACTCTCACCTCCCTGCCTCCCAGCGGAGCCTCACCTGCCCGGGCACGCCCTGCCACCTCCTCCAGTAACCCTGAATGGCATCACAGGCCCACCCTCTGAAAACCTTGGCTGAGGGATGGGTGGGCTGAGAAGAGGCCCCCTGCTTCCCCACAGCCAGGACCAAATTCAGCTGGGCTCAGCAGCAACTCCCAGAGACAGGCTACTTGGTGCGGCTGCTGTTGCTAGAAACCAGAGGATGTGGTGGGCATCAGTCCCCTGGCTCAAAGGCTGGACCTGGATGGGGGTCAGGGTACGTTCTGCACCCCTGAGTGATGCCAGGGCTGTCTGGGAAGGTAAGCTGGGATGTCTTCCTCACAGGGGTAGCATTTGCCTGCTTTGGGTGAAGAAGTGGATGCATGCACCCTGGGCTGCAGAAGCAAGCTGGGCTGCCTGCTGGACCCTGCAGGTGTGGGCTATGGGGCCTTCTCTAGATCTGGAACTGCCGGGGGCCCTAGGAGGGCAGCTAAGGGGGCAGTAGGTGAGGGGGGTGGCTCAGACACCTGTGTCCAAGCACTGCTGGGTGGGAAGGAAGAGCAGGTGGAACTCAGCCTGCACTGAGCTGAGGCCACCAGTCCACGGGTTAATGGTGGCTGGGGGAGAAGGCAGTGGTGTGGGGTGCCCGGGAGGAGGCCCCTCCTCGTTCTCTGCTCCCCGGGGCCTGGTGGGTGCGGGTAAGTGGCTGGGGAGGCCCCGTACTCACTGTTGCTGCACTGCCGACTGCCTCGCCAGTCCTGGCCGGTGTCCGCCCAGCAGTTCCGGGTCCGGGTGGGGTACTCGTTTCCAGCCTTGGAAAAATTTCCTACCTGGGGGCTGTAGTAGACCCCTTGCGAGCTGAGCCCCCCGAAGCCTGCCACGTGGGAGTAGCCGGAGAGGAGGCTGCTGTTCGGTGCAGCCACGGGCCTGCTCAGGATGTCCGTGATCCCGTGGGGGGTCCCCGCCGCCAGCTGGGGGCCCAGCCCCGGGGGGCTGAGCTTGTAGAAGGAGTTCTGCACTGAATACTGGCACACAGGGGCCTTCATCTCCGGAAACTGAGCCAGCGGCGTGTTGTTCAGCAGGAAGGTCCCCTGCAGGTTGGACTCCATGATCTCCCAGTCAGGACAGGGAAGGCTTCTCCAGGCCCCTAAAACCCAAGAGCCCACACTCTAGCCCTAAATCTCATGGCAGGCCTGGAGGGTCAGGACCAACTCTGAGCCCCTGACTGCCTCCCACCTAAGGCCTCGGCCAGGCCCTGGCCCAGGCACCGGCACCCGGTCAGCTGCTCGGAAGTCAGGTGCTCGGGGCAGGTGGGAGGCCTCCCCAGGGCTCCTGGCCTCTCTCCTTGCCCTGGCTGGACTAGGTGGCCCCCTACGCCTCAGCTCAGACCCCCTTTCTGCCTCTGAGTCTGGGGACCCTACATGAGAAGTTTTAAGTTCAGAGAAGGAACATTTCCCTGATAAAGATACGGCCCATTAGAATACAGGCCCGAGACTGGCTGAGCCGCCGGAGCCGCACCACCATTGGTCGGGGCACACACGGGCCTCACATTGGCTTTTCCTAGACAAATTGCACTTTGAAAGATTGACTGTAAAATCAGCCAGGGTGTGTGTGTGTGTGTGTGTGTGTGTGTGTGTGTGTGTGTGCGCGCGTGCGTGCGCGCGCGTGTGTGTGAGAAAGACAGAGAGCGAATTAGCTCTAGAAGCCCTGCTCATCGCCAGAGGGTCCCTCTGCTCCCCGCAAGTCTAGCATCTAGGAAAAGGTGAGTGTCTTGGGGGCCCCGGGAGGCTCCCAAGCAGCTGTTTCCCTGGGGGAGATGAGGCTGAACTCCGAGGCCACTGCCCGGAGCTGCGCCGGCCCCTTTATGTGCAGATGTCCAAGCTCCACAGGAGAACACAGCCTCTTCCTTCCATTCCTCATGGGGGGATGGGGTAAGTGGCTTAAGATTGGGTAAGTGTGGGGATGGGGTAAGAGGCTGAGTGGCATTGCTTTCTGGGGGATGCAAGTCCCTGTGGCTGGCTTGAGAGCCTAGGGTGGGAGCCTGCTGGGCAGAGGGCAGGGTGGGGCATGCAGCCCTGACAGGGCCGGGGTGTGCCTCCTCCAGCTGCAGGAGGCTGAAAAGAGGGCTACCCTGCACACCTGTTCTTGCCTCCACCTCTAGTCGGCCTTCCCTGACCTCCCTATCAGAATCTCTTCCTCATTTGTGCCTTGGCTGGAGCAATGGCCATGCTCTGTCTGGTGTGGTGCCCAGGTTTGAAATCCCTGATGGCTGAGAGGGTGGTGGAGCCCCGTGCCAGGCACTCTGTCGGTGCTCAGTTAGTAGTTGATGCATGGGACTGGGCTGAATCACAGAGCATGCATATGCTTTTTTTTTTTCTTGAATAAATTTTTATAATGTACAAGGCTTTATTGAGGGAAACTCTCATTTTACAAACAGGGAAACCAAGGTATAGAGGAGTTGCAGCCTACGTTCCAGGTATATGGGTGATTTCTGGACTGGGCAGGATTCTTCCCTGCAGTTTTTCTCTAAAAATGGAAACTAGCGTGCCACTGGCCTGAACATGTAAAATGCCAGGAAAGATTGTGACTGCCAGACAGATAGACTTCTGCTCATCTCTGTGCCTGGTGGCCCCAGAGCCCTTCCTGACCAGGCATGAGCTCTGCAGAGCTTGATCTCTCACTCCCCAGAGGCCGCCCTGGTAGGTGGGAGACGAGAGGCACTGCTTCACTGAGCTTCTCCTGGGTTTCCAGACCATCTTGGTTTTCAGTGGGGAGCAGAGGACCCCAGGGCTCAGGGCGAGCTTCCTTCTCACGCAGAAGCTGACCCTCTGTAGCAAAAGGATTTAGGTTATGCAAGAAAGACCTCACAAAGGGTGTGGAATGATTCTCTACAAATTTGGTTTAAAGGGAAAAGAGCTATGTCTTCGTCTGAGATGGCTTTGCCCCCAGGCTGAGTGCCACAGCCATCTGATAGACCTGGTTCTGGTTCTCAGCGTCACCACCCAATCCCACCCAGGCAACTGTGATTCCGAAACTGCGTTTTGAAAAGCCCCCTGGGTGCTGCAGATGACCTGCTGCGATTGCCCACTGGCCTGGATGGCCTCTCCGATTCCAGGAGAGAGGCTTGGAGCGGGGTGGGACTGGGGTGCTCCAGGGGCCTTGGGATTGTGACTCCGTCACCCCCTCATGATGGGGAATTTATGTGGCAGGAAAGCCACAGCCAATGATTTGATTCTTAATTAATGCCAAGCCTGACAAAGGCATTGGTGTCTGGCACCCCTAGGATGAGAAACTGAAGAGACTTTAGCAACCACCTAATCCATTCTTCCATTAGACAGATGAGGAAACTGAGGTCAGCTTGGTGACCAGCCTTGCAGGAAGTGTTAGCGACTAGTTAGAAACAGGGCAACTTTTTCCCTACAGCAAGAAAAAGTTCTTGAACTTTGAATGGCATTGAGTACTGGGGCCAGATGCCTTCCTAGGGAACACTGGGGAGCACCCTCAGTGCATGCCAGCTGGGGGCCTGGCCAAGAATCTTGGTGAGTTGTGGTGCCCCCTCCCCGGCCCCCAGCTTCTCCCCATCTCATGGGAGCCATCAGGTGGAATAGAAATCTACTCTGCCACCTCTCTGGAGGCCTCTCCCAGGTCAGGGGTCCTGATTAAGGGATTGTCCAGGCTTCTGGGAGGACTCGGCATTGGCAGGCTCTCTGGGACCTGAGCCCCACCCATAGATTCCTTCACATCCCAACCCAGGCTTTAGGCTGGCCTCAGCACCCCTTACCCCCCAAAGACGAGCGGGAAGGAGAGATAGAGCCCTGTGCCATTAGTCCATTTCTTTATTAATTTTGACATTGGTTCGGCTGGTGTAGGGAGAATGGTCTATACATCAGAGTGGGGTAGGGGATTCTCTCCCATAACAGAGCATGTGGGAGAGTCAAGAAAAGATCCATTTTCATAACAATTAAAAAAATCAAGGTAATTTCAAAACTTCTAAAAAGCGTCTAATGTGCAGACTGCAGCATTCTCTAGGCATCGTGTGGAGACCCCAAACTCCTCCCCTAACGGCTCCTACTAGCAGCCGGAGCGTGCAGCCATGCCAGCCGGAGCAGAGGTGCCAAAGCGGAGCCTGGAGCCGCGGGGCCCGCGGGGGCGCTAAGGGGGCTACTGGGTTGGCTGCAGCGGCGACCTGGGAGAGGAAGGTGCAGGATCGAGGCGGGAGAGGCGAGCCCTGCGCCCAGCTTCCTTGGGCCGTCATCGAATCGGTCCCAGCCGCGCTGCGCGACCGCCCTGCCGTGGCCCCCGGGATGGGGGGAAGGATGGGGGCGCCTCTGCGCCCTGGAGGCCGGGCCGGGGTGGCCTCTGGCGGCAACGGCAGCCGTCCAGGCTCGCCCTGCAGCTCTTCAGAGGCAGCCTCGGGGAAACTGAGGCCCGGAGCTAGAGCCTCCTCTCCCTGCCCGCCCCTCTAAGGAAGCAAAAGCAGCCCCGCCCCCGGCAGACAAGGTGCCTCGGCCGCCCCGGGGCCTGCTCGGCCCTGGGTGCATCGGGGCAGACTTGTGGGGGAGGCAGGGCCCCTCTCCGCTTACAGGCCCCGCGGCCAGGGGGCCTCTGACGTGGAGGGGGCTTCTGTGCTACTTGGAAGGTTTAAGTGTGTCCCGAGGACACTCCCGCAGAGCGGCGGGGGGGACGGGGCCAGGCCGTCCACACCGCGGCTCCGGGGTCGAGAGGAGCCAGCCCTGTCTCTCTCTCCTGGCCCTGGGGACGCCCGCCGCGAGGGCGGGCAGGGATTGTGCTGATTGGGGCCTCCCTGGGCCGGAGGCTCTAGTGGAACTTAAGGCTCCTCCCTGATGGCACCGAGGCGAGGAACTGCCAGCTGTCTGTCTCCTTTCTGCCCTGACCCAGAGCCTGGCCCTGGCCTCTTGGCGTCCAGGCTCTCTGCCACCGACTCTGCTACCACTGGTCATGCGATCCAGAGAGCCCCCTGACTGGCCTCTCCAAGAGGCCACAGGGGCTGGGCAGAGGGGAGGCACCGAGGCAGACAGGGAACAGCCTCGAGCCTGCCACCTGCACCCAGGGCCCCCAGCCTGCAGGCTGCCTGGACTTAGAGCACCAAGTTCACTCTGGGAGACCTTGGGTGGTCCTGACTTCTAAGAACTGGCAGATACATTCACTAGCCCTACTCCTTTCCTTCCTCTTTCACTGAAAGGCAGGCCACAGCTCCTTCTCCTGAAGCCACAGAAGTCCTCAGGAGCTGTGCTGTCAGGCTCTGTACATACTGCTAAATGTTTCTATTGGTTTGCATAGTATTTATTGTTTTTCATATACACAAGGCTGATTACTGTACAGTTTACACTTTGGACACAGACTATGATATAGTGCTTGAAGATATAGAAAACCTCTTCTCTATGGACATGCTGGTGCAATCCTGGGTCAGCCACCGGCCCGTCCCCTGACTGAGAGAGGAGACCCTTTCAGATGGGGTCCTGGCTCCCTTTGAGCCCTACAGGTAAGCCTGGGAGTCCTCGCCTCAGATTCTTAAGTCCCTAACACAAGGAACCCCGAATGCACTCTCAAGGTAATGATTTTCCGTTGGAAGATGACTTGTACTGAAATTGGCAGAGAGAGAGAGAGAGACAACATAAAAAATTCCAGTTTATCCACAGCAGAATCTATACAGCTTCAGAAGTCACAGTAAAATCTGTGTGTAGATTCAGTGGAGGCGAGTGGGGTGTGTGTGTGTGTGTGTGTGTGTGTGTGTGTGTGTGTGTCCTGAATGTCATGTAGAGCGATCTGGCAGGAGCGTCACCAGGGAGTGGAGGGGGTGTCACAAGTGGAATGGAGGTGTGTAGGTTGGGTCGGGGAGGGTGGGCAGATGAGGACATGGCTTAAGACTAAGGTGGCTAAACTGATTTCATGCCTAGTTTTTTTTCTTTCTTTCTTTCTTTTTTTTCTTTCCAGGAAGCCCACATGGATTTCTGACAGATGAGGTCGAGAAAAAGTACCCTGTATGAAGTCAAAACAACTACAAAAAAACCCCAAAAACCAAAACCCATCCCCAGCCACAAAAAGCCCTCATTCACTTTTGCGTTCACACGCTCTCCCGCGCCTGTTTTCTATCCCTCTCTCTCCCCGCTTCTTGCTCCTTTTGTGTCCTGGTTCCGACAGATCAGCTGTCATTGCAAGAGGCAGGATTGAAGCCTGGAGGTCATGCGTCTACAGTCAGTCATTCATGCGAAGAGGGGACTAGCGGGAGTCCCTTACAGAGGTCATGCCGTCAGCCCAGAGGAACGTGTGCACCGCTGCAGTGGCCCTCAGGTCCAGCTCTCCTCCTGTGTGCATGGCAGAGTGTGTGGGGTTCAGGGGTTGGGTGTCGAGGTGTGATCCTGGGAGACACAAAGAGAGAAGGGGTCACTTAGAATGCAAAAGGGCAACGTCCAGCAGAAACCTTACACACAGAGTTTTGTGCTGGCAGCTCAGGCCGAATCTGACTCAGGAAAAACAGTCTCCCCAGGCAAGGCGACGTGCAGAGGGCGCTGCTCTTGCAGGCCCAACCTTCTGAGACGCTGCCCTCCTTCTCTTGCTCCCTATGCAGAGGCTGTTCCTCAGAGCCGCCACATAGGCCTCATGAATTCCTTCTGAGTGCTCGAGCGCTCCAGGATGCCTCTCTGTATGGGCCAAGGAGAGCGCTGTGCTCCACGTCCTGGGAGAGGAGCAGAGGCCCCTGTGCCTATGTGGTCACCTGGGGAGACATCCCCCCAGCAGATCCTTGTACTTAGGAAGGGCCATTTTTCTTGAGCCAGGGCTTGTGCCAAGAAGGGGCTAGGTGAGGCTAGGTGACACCTTCACTTTCTCAGTTCAGCTCTGCCAACATGCACTGATGTCTGCCATGTGCCAGCCTTGGGGACCCAGGGATGGTGTGGACAGGCTCCCTGGCTTTGGGAGCTCATGCTTCAAGGGTGACAGCTCCCCTTCAGCTCTGGTCCACAGTTCTTCCTGACTGCTGCCTCTGGCTGCTCTCCCCATTCCCCTCAGATGGACAAGATCTCTGAAAAGCAGATGCATCCTCCTCTCCTCCTCCTGTATTGAGTCCTAGTCTGGAGAAGAGCAGATTTGCTGGAGGAGCTAAGCCTACATTCTTCAGCCTGGGATTCACAGTGAGAAAACTCTCCTGTTCCCATGGGGCCTCCAGCCTCCAACCTGGGGTGAAAACTGCATGTTTTCAAGACCAGCCACTCATGTTCTATCTGCAGGGACCCTGGGACCACTGGGGAAAGGAGGATGCTTCAATAGGGAGAAGGTGACAATCTCTTGGGCAGGGCAGGAAGTGACACAGGGGGGCAGGAGCTCATCCCCAGGTGGTGCCATCTCCAGACACGGAGCTGTCGTGGGTTCTCCAGGTGAAGGTGTTGGGGAGGAGTGTTGGAAGGGAGCAGGGAGAACTCAGCTCTTGGGTGGTTCCCCAGGGATGGGAGGGTGGTGCCGGGTTCCTTGCCAGGGGCTGCTGTAGAACTGTAAAACCAGGAACCGCTGCCGCAGTGGGTGGACAGTGCTGTCACCGTAGAGGGAAGATGCTTTCATCACTGCCGGGCCATCACATCAGTCAAGCCTGACTGTCTCCTCTAAGCCTCTGAACATGCTCTACCCTCCTGTTCTCTGCCTTTGGTCACACTTCTCCTGTCAAGGCTGCCTTCCACTCTCCCTTCTGCAGAGGTTCTGCCTGCTGCCCTCAACATTTCCACCCCACAAAACTTTCCTGATCCTTGGAGCAGGCCCCTCTCCACTCTGGAAGCGCTCCCTTTTGTATTTTGTAAAAATAGAAAATACAAAAAAAAAAAAAAAAGAGGCTGCCTCTTCTGATCGGGAGATGGCAGAGTCGAATGGGTAAGAATATGAACTCTGGAGCCAGATCACCTGGGTTCAAGTCCCGTGCTGCCTGACCTCAGTCAAGTGCCGTACCCGCTCTGTGACTCAGTTTTCTCTGCTGTAAAATGAGGGCAGTAATAGGACCTACCCATTAGAGAGGTGTGATATTTAAAAAAGCCAAGACACATAGGTGCTTAGCATTGTATGAATGTGAACAGTTACTTGGCTCTCTAGAAATGTTACCGTCTCTGTCCGTTTGTGCTTTTTGATGTCTGCATATTTCCCTGGTTGGATTAGAAACACCGAGGGCAAGAACAGCCTCCTGGTGCTCCCCACAGTGCGTGCCCCAAGGGGAAGCACTCCTCAAATAAGAGACCATCACGGAATGTGCGGCCTAGGAAAGATAGTCTAGGATCTCCCATCTGCTTTACTGCCCAGGCACTGAGCAGAAGAGAAAGTTCAGACCTCAGAGATCATGCTGGCATGACTGCCCATTTCATCCCTTGGTAAACTGAGACTCTGGAGGCGCAGTGGCAAGAACAGGGGTGGGATGAGGATCTAGGTCACCTCACTCTGCTCAGGACTCCTGCATTTTTCTGACCTCTTCTCCTGGGTCCCCTCACCTTTCAAAAGGTTAGAAAAGAGTCTCTTTCATTCTTTATTTTTATTTCATTTAGAGACAGAGTCTTGCTCTGTTGTCCAGGCTAGACTGCAGTGGTACAATCATAGCTCACTGCAGCCTTGAACTCCTGGGCTCAAGCGATCCTCCCACCTCAGCTTCCCAAGAGGCTGGAACTACAGGTGTATGCCACCATGGCCAGCGAATTTTTAAATTTTTTTTAGAGACAGGGTCCTACCACATTGCCCAGGCTCATCTCAAGTGGTCCTCCTGCTTCAGCCTCCCAAAGTGCTGGGATTACAGGCATGAGCCACTATGCCCGGCCTTAGACAGCCCTTTCACAAACATAAACTCAGCAACCATCATAACCATCCTACAAGGGAAATGCTGGCATTATTGCTATTTTATGGCTAAGGAACCTGAGGCTTAGGGAGATCATTTGACTTGCTCTGAGTCACACTACAAACAAGACCTGCAGTTATTTGAGTCCCAGAGCATATATGTATTTACTTACTCTCTTCACATCAGTGCTCACAGTTACCATTATTATTTTGAAACCTTTTTCTTGAAGTGTAACACATCGAAAGGGACTATTTTCATCCTCCCTTGAGGAGACTGAAGCTCAGGGCTTTTAAATGACTTAAGGCCATACAACCTGGAAGCAGGAGGAAGAGGCCTTAATTCTAGACACACAAGCTCCAGCTTTCACTCTTTGAAACAAATACAGCCCATTCTAGTCATTTGCAATAGCTCTGTTCTATAAATCAGTCACTGTTTGAGGCTACACACAGTGGCTCACGCCTGTAATCCCAGCGCTTTGGGAGGCTGAGGAGGGCGGGTTGCTTGAGGTGAGGAGCTCGAGACCAGCCTGGCCAACATGGTGAAATCTCGTCTCTACTAAAAATACAAAAATTAGCCAAGGGTGGTAGCACACGCCTGTAATCCCAGCTACTCAGGAGGCTGAGGCAGGAGGATCGCTTGAACCTGGGAGATGGAGGTTGCAGTGAGCCAAGATAGTGCCACTGCACTCCAGCCTGGGCAACAGAGCAAGACTCCCTCTCAAAATATAAATAAATAAACAAATAAGTCGCTGTGAACATGGAATTAGCGAATACTGAACCACCGCTCCTAAGGGAAATACAAGGTTAGGCTCCCGCGAGCCTCTGGCCACAATATTTTGGTCAACTGATGAATACATAACTTTGTCTTAGGTGCGTTTCTGTTTCAAGACACCTTATGTAATATACAGGGTTGACTCATTAACACTGACTTCACCAGCACAGGCACTCTAACTCATCCCTGAGCAGAGCTTATCTGATGTCTGTTCTCTCCTTAAGGAACATCCCAGCCTTCTTACGCTTCACACCAGATAGCATTTCCCTCAGGGGCCATTCTAAACAATGAAACCAAAAATTCAAAAAATGGGGCACTACACAAGCTGTGAGGAGGACACTTACTTATAGTATGAAACACCGAGGCAGAGTGTGGCTTTATCCATCCTCAGCTGGGACTGCACGTGTTGGGCGACTCAAACTTTTTGCCCCTGTGTGCATGCCCATGAATGAGCAAAAGCACGGTGAGTGTCAGCTTTGGGGCTACAGATAAATGTTAATGAGTAGGCAAATTCGCAAATGCCGAATCCGTGAATGATGAGGATCGACTGTACATGCTTGTCGGGGGTGGGGGTAGTAAATTAGAAAGCCTTCGGGCCCTCAACTGTCTTCTCTGTAGCCTTAGCCCTGGTTGGGAGGGTAGGGCATTTAATGCTGTCCCCTAACCCTCTGGGACTTCAGCAGGAGCTTTTCTCCGCCTCTCCCTCGCCACTGCTCTCGCCCCTCCTCGCCCCCTTCCCCCGCCGCCACTGTCACACTTTTACCTGTGCCTGTCACTGACAGAGGGCAAAGTGCTGTCCCAGAGCCGGGCTGCTCCGTGTTTCTGACACCCACGCTAGTGTGGTCTGGTCCTTAATCACCTGGGGTGGGGGCTTTAGTCACACTGCTGATCATTTACAGCAAATTAAAATGAAATTCAAGGCTCCCTCCTTCCCCCTAGCCTGGCTTTTGGGCTGCCTCTCTCCCGCTCAGGAGCATCCATAGAACCTGAGCCAAACAGAAATCTAAAGCCACAGCTGCCACTGCTACCATAAGAAAAACAAGTCAGAAGAGTGTACTCTTCCTTTCCGTTTGCTGCTTTTAAACATTATTTGCATCTTTGGGTTCTTTCCAGGACCCAACAGTAGCTACTCAGAGTCTTCTAAATCAGCAGCCTAGTGGGACCCCTGGCAGTGCAGGGGTTAACACGGTGACCTCCTTAAGCTGCTGAGATGTCAGGTCTAATTTTATCCTATAACTGGATCTGCCAGTCCTCTTTTTTGCCCAAGTGCTGAGATATATCGGGAAGCCCAGAGTCAGCACTTTTGGTGGCTCAGGAGGCAGCGGGCCCTGATTTTTGCCGAAAGCGGAAAGCCAGAGCCTCCTTGCTGCTCGGCCCCAGAGTCAGGCCCTGGGGTGTGAATGGTAACGACCCGGTTAGTGCTGCACTGGGGCCACCATGCCCCCTCACCTCCTGCTGACTCCCACCCCGAGGTATCCTGTACTGAGCTGCCCCGAGCTGGGCAGCATGAAGGGCCTCGGGGCAGCTCAGTACAGGATGCCCCAGGGAGGATGGAGATCAGAGCCGGCCACTGAAGCCCCCAGCACCGCACACACCTGCTGGAGACAGTCGCGATCGTGCAGCGTCTTCATGTCCCTCCCTCATGGCACGGCACAGCACGGCACGCCCCTACTCCGTGGCCACACTACCCCGTGCTCACACACATGCACCATGGCCCAGGCCCCAACCCTGACGGTCTCCTGACTTGCAGAAAGCATGTCGTCCACCCCTTAGGCCTGTCAGCTCAGCCCTTTCCTAGAAAGCAAGGGAGCAACATGTTTCACAAAACACCAAGGAGAAGCTAAGCCTTGGCCAGGTCAGAACTGTAGCTGGGCTCCAGGTTCAAGAGACAGTCCAGTCCTCAGTCTTGGAGCTCTTATGTTGAAACATCACAGCCCAGACTCTCCTATTCTCTCTAGTGCCCTGTCCACCACCTTCTAGACCCCCATTGCTTGGTTTCCAAGATAATATTACCACTTAGATTTACAGAGTGCTTTTACTCTTCAAAGAGCGTTTTTTTCTTTCTGGTTTTTTGTTTTTTTTTGAGATGGGGTCTTGCTCTGTTGCCTAGGCTGGTCTTGAACTCCTGGCCTCAAGCAATCCTCTCGCTCCGACCTCACAAAATGCTGGGATTACAGATATGAGCCACTGTGCCCGGCCCAAAAGGCATTCTTACGAAACCGTGCAGTCCCTGTTAAGTGGATGTTATTAACTCTGTTTCCTTGATGAGGAAGCTGGGGCTCAGAGCCGCTGTTAGTAGGGCTGGGAAGCGAGAATCTCTGCCTCGAGACACAGCCGCAAGTTATTTGTCCCACATCATGCTGGGGTGGCTGGGAGGGGATCGGGTGAGACAGGGAGCAGCCACTCCACCAAAGAACAGGCCATGCAGAGGGGATGAGAAGGGCTGCGTTACCTCCCAAGAGGCTACTCCAAGGAGAGCAGCTCGGGGTCACTGTTTCCCCCTTTTCAGGCTGGCCCGCTTCACTATCTGCGCCCCTTTCCTGCCCTCTATCAGGTCCGGTTGTAGGCCACTCCCTCTCAGCTCCACCTGCAGACAGCAGCAGAGACAGAAAGCAGGATAGATGGCAAAGATGGGCAGAACACAGGCAGAAGATTGAAAGGAGGCTACACGGAGGCGGCAGACACACTGCCCACAGGGGAGAAGGGAGACTGGAGGGAGAGCTCATGAAGAGGTGAGTGGAGGGAGGTGTCACGCAGATGGCCCGGCCAGATGGGCAGAGCGAGGCAGCAGTGATGGCGCTGGGTCCCCCAGGGCCGCGGGAGCCTCAGTACCTTGGCATGTTTCATAAAGGAATCAATATCGACCTCCAGCTCACTGGGATCCTCCAGGGGCCCCGTGACAGTCACCTCCTCGTGCTCCTGGGCAGCGTCGGCGCTGGACGAGTCTATCTGCCGAACCACCTTGCGAATGATCTGGGAAAGGAAGGGAAGGAGGAAAGGGCTGGTCAGGCCGGGCACGGGGGCTCATGTCTGTAATCCCAGCACTTTGGGAGGCTGATGGGCAGATCATCTGAGGTCAGGAGCTTGAAACCGGCCTGGCCAACATGGTGAAACCCTGTCTCTACTAAAAAGACAAAAATTAGCCGGGTGTGGTGGCAGGCACCTGTAATCCCAGCTACTCAAGAGTCTGTGGCAGGAGAATCACTTGAACCTGGTGGGTGGAGGTTGCAGTGAGCTTAGACCACACCACTGCACCCCAGCCTGGTCGACAGAGCAACACTCTGTATAAAAAAAACAAAAACAAAAACAAAAAACGCTGGTCAAGCCCTCAAGAGCAGGTCCCAGGAATGAGCTCTGAGTGGGGGAGGTAGCCTTTGTCCTAGGAGCCCCTCCTTGAGAGGCCAAGAAGAGGGACAGCCTTTGCCCCATCGCTTTACGGAAAACCCTCTGCCAGACAGCCCTGAAGGGGCCTTGGCAGTGCCATTCCATGACCAAGGTGTGACTGGGTGTGACCTCCCCCTTGAGCCCACAGCCTTCTGTTTTGCTTTTTGGTATGGATGGAAGTTTGCACTCTTCCCTATTCTACTCCCAGGCGCCTAAGGGCAGAAGGCATCTCTTTTTCGCCCACCCACTCCCGTATTCACCTGTCCAAATATTCAAACCCTTTACTCTGTACCTGCCATGTGGTCTGAGTGGGAGACGAAACATCAGCCAGACACGGTCCCTGCCTGCAAGCAGTTCACAGTGCAGGAGGAAAGACAGACACACAAGCAGCCTCACTCCAGGGTGATGCGAACTGCCCCCCAGCAGAAGCACATTCGAGACCCTGCCTTGGCTCCTCCTCTCTTTTACCCATAGCTAGCACCGTGCCCCATACTTGACAGGCAAGATCATGTCTCTGAATTAATATCTGCTACCAATCCAATGCGTTTTCACTTCCTTTAAATTATTTAATTATGGTGACGGGGTCTCACTCTGTCACCCAGGCTGGAGCTGGAGTACAGTGGCTCAATCAAAGCTTATGCAGCCTTGAACTGCTGGGTTTAAGTGATCCTCCTGCCTCAGCTTCCTGAATAGCTGTGACTACAGGCATGCGCCACCATGCCTGGCTAACTTTGTGTGTGTGTATTTCTTTCTTCCTTTTTTAAAAATTTTTTAGAGATGAAGTCTTGCCATATTGCCCAGGCTGATCTAAATGCCGGGGCTCAAGCGATCCTCCTGCCTTGGCCTCCCAAAGTGCTGGGATCACAGGTGTGAGCCAACACACCTGCCCACATCCATTTTATTTAAGGAGGCCCATGGTAGGCCTGGGATGCTCAATCTGCTTGTTTAATAGCTGTTTTCAGGGTTAGGTATCATGGGACTAGGTCTGGGATATTTCCTTGGGGCTGGCCCTTCTGGAAGGGAGCAGCAGAAGCTATTTAGGTTGACTCAGACAAAGCAGTTGTGAGGACACCGTGTCTGGACTGCAGATGACCAAAGCTCCCAGCTCCTGGGCCCTCCATCCCTCCTGGGCGTGGGGGCAGCCAGCCTGGCCGTGCTCACCTGCTGTGAGGGCAGCAGGGAGAAGCTGCTGGCTTCTACCGCCTTTTAGCTTCTAGCCCACCTGCCTGTCCCCAGCACAGAGGGGAACAACACTCTACACCCACCTTCTTGGTGACAATGTTGCCCTGCTCATCCGTGAACTGCTCCTCTGTCACCTGCTCCCCTGGAATATTCTGAAACTCATTTCCCTGGAATTAGAGAAGAGGAGAAAATGCAAGATTGGTGAGTGGGAGTCTGGGAGGAAGAGTGGAGGAAGAGGAAATGAAACAGCAGCAGCCAAAATAACCATGGCCCAATAACTCCCCCAGCAGGAAACTCCGGCTCAGCATGCAGCGGGAGCCACGCCAGGGCTCCCAGGGCATGGGCGACGCCCCTGAGGGTCTGGGAGGCCTGAAGATGAACAGCCCAAGCTTGCAATTGTGCACTCGGCCCTCACAACACCCCCTGGGAACCGGCAAAATGGGGGCAATTATGCAAGTCTGACGGAGGAGGCCTTGAGAGAGGAAGTGAGGCACCTGTTTCCTATTTTTACAGCACTTTGCAATATAGAAAAGCCCTTCGACAGGCAGCATCACCCAGAATGTGACTTGCCCGAAATCCCAGAGCCAGTTGGTGACAGAAACAGGACAATCCAGGTGCAATCCCATGGTGGCACATGCCTGCAATCCCAGCACTTTGGGAGGCCAAGTCCAGAGGACCACTTGAGTCCAGGAGTTCAAGACCAACCTGGGCAACATAGTGAGCCCCCGTCTCTACAGAAAATTTTTAAAAATAGCCAGGCATGGTGGTGTGTGCCTGTAGTCCCAGCTACTCAGAAGGCTGAGGTGGGAGGATCACTCGAGCCCAGGAATTTACAGTGAGCCCAGGTTACAGTGAGCCATGACCATGCCACTGCACTCCGGCCTGGACTAAAGAGCAAGACTTCACCTCTAAAAACAAAAGAAAAAAGAGAAGAGAAGAGAGAGAAAAGAGAGAAAGAGGAAAGAAACAAAGAAGGAAACAGGACGAGCACAGCCTCCTGAGACCCAAAGCTGAGTGTTTAATGTCACTGTCACAACGCACTGGGCACCAGAGGGCAGGTTCTGGTGGGCGCCATACACACTCTGGCTCCCAGGGCAGAACCTGATCCCGGGGGGACCTCCTGGTCCTTTTCTTCCAGTGTCTCCCAACTCTGGGTCCGGAGCTCCCCACAGCAGTGTCCCCTCAGCCCTGGCCTCCGGCGCCCACACCGCCAGCCCCGCCGGCCTCCTGCCAGGCGGTTACCTTCAGGAAGACCCGCCGCCGGACCACCCTGGTGGAGATGGTCTCCTCGTCGTCACTGACGCCCTCGCTCTCCCCCAGCTCCTTGTCCAGCTCCTGGTGGATGTGCTTCAGCACGAAGCACAGGGACCCCCTGACAATGTGCATCACGTTCTGACAGCTGACCAGGAAGAAACTCAGCAGCACCAGTGTGACCAGGAGCTGGGTGACGAAAGTCCACATCCTCACCTCCTCACCAGCCCGGTCCTCCGGGGACCAGAGCAGCCAGGGGCCGGACCGCCACGGGCGGCCCACCTCTCATTCTTCACTGGGACTCCTGAGTCCCCCAGGGATCCCTTGCATTCCCCCTCCCTATCTCTCTGGTTTGCTCTCTTCGTCTCTCACTGTTTCTCTCTCTCTGGGTAGGACACCGAATGGCCCTCTCGGGTGAAGCAGCCCAGCCCAAGTGCCCTTCTGCCCAGCAGCCAGGCTCTGCCCTGAGTGGCCCGGGTGACATCACGCTCCTACAATTTTAGCTCCCCAAACCAGCTGCTGGAGCTGTCCAACCGGGCTAGAAGGAAGCCGGCAGGTGCCCGTGTCCTGAGCACTGAAAGCACAAGTGAAAGTCACTGTGTGAGTGACACTCGCTGCTGCCTAACCCCGCCCTGCCCCGCCCTGCCCAGAGAGCTGGAAGTGGGGGCTCGGCCTCTCGCCTATCCTGCCTGTCCCCATGGGAACTAGAAAGAGTTCTGCCCACGGAAAGTCTCTTACTTTCAGAAAATAATATGGTCTGAGAAACCAGCTACTTGTGTGTCTCCTCGGGCTGCTACTGCAGTGATCTGAATGATGGTCCCCAGCATGGTAGGGATGAGACCAGCTAATACCCTGGACACTTGTCTGTTTCAAAAATTGCCCCAAAAGGGTGAGTGATGGGCTCGCGGACAGTCAAGTGAGCCCAGCAGGGGCCCAGCACAGGTGGTGGGGCCACCTGGAAGCCAGTCTGTAATTCTTATCAGCCCGCAGGCCCTTGCACCCTTCCTTTACGGGGCACAGCCTCCCGAAACTGAAGCGTGGAGCTGGTGTGTCTATTTAAGGCCTGTCCTTAAAGGCTCTTCCAGGACTGGGCTATCGACGCCCACTGAACAGGAACCACGCATATTAACTCGTGTTTACAGAGCTGATTCACAAATGCAGCCGCAGCAGCTGTGGCTGGAAAAAATTTCACTTTCTAGATCAGGTTGTTCCTCTCTGAGTGGCAATGCAGCATGGCAGAAAGAACACAGATCCGGGACACAGCAGACTGACCCCGCAACTCACCTACTGTCGGGTCTTGGGAAGGCTGGGTACCTTCTCTGTGCCTCAGTTTCCTCATCTGTGAAGCAGGGATTAAAGTGCTCTCCCCACTCCTCTCCCTCACGGCTGCTGGGACAATCATGCTGCTTTTGAATGCTAACACTATGAATAATAATGGCAAATGCTTGTGATACTGCATGGTTCTTTGTGGATTTCACGTTAATTCAGAGACACCTTACCACAAGCCTAACCAAGGAGGTTCTATCGTCTTCCCGTTTTACACAAAGGAAACAGAAGTAAAGTATTCTGCCTAGGTAGAGGAGTAAGTAAACGGAGGAGTCACATTCCAAATGCCTTTCACTCCACAATGCTCCTCATTTCAACAAGAAAGCATGGGGAAAAGTATGTGCAAAGAAGCCAGGCATGGGGAAACATCTGGTTTTGGCCCAGTCAAGAAGAGTCCAACTTCAGATATTTCCTCCTGAGTCCTCAGGGAAATCGGCTGGGTCACAGTCATTTCAGGCCACCTCCCAAGTCCCAAGTTACAAGCAATCTCTCTATCTCCCTGTCACTGTTTGCAGAGGTCCAGTGGAAATACTAATAAGCAGGTGCTTTGCAAACCATCAGTCACCTTCAAGGGTCTCCTTATCAGCCCTTGGGGCCTGTGAGACAGGCACCGGCAGCAGCCTGCCAGGCCCTCCTATCAGCGACTCCAGTTCTGGGCTGGGCATGCTGGCCTTGCATGTGCATGCTGGACGTGAGGATGTAGGGCTTGGGAACTGAGGGATCTGACCCTCCTGGTCCCTGACATTGGTCCACTGTGTGACTCTGGAGAAAGCCCTTGGCTCCTCTGGTCCGCAGTGCCCTCGTTTATAATTGAGGGGGTTGGATGTGTGATCTAGAAGGCCCTTCTAGCTCCCCTCACCAAAGGCTGACTGCAGAGAGGCAGTGGGAAAAAGTGCTGTAGGCGTCTTTCTCTTTCCCCAGGGATTCAGGAGAAGAGACCCAGTTAAGATCATGTGTGCTCTGGGAGCAGGAGAACTAGGTGCCCAGGAGGGCCTGATGGAAGAAACGCACGGGCCACCTGTGGTGAGGAGTGCACACAGGTGCTGGCCCCGCCTGGGGCACATACTTGGCAGGGGAGCATTCTAAAAAAAACCTGACTGAATTCCTAGCAGTTCTATGGCCGGCAGTTCAGGGTCTTCCTTCCAGAGCCACCCTAGTCCTGGAGTCTGAGGTTCAGGTAGAAAAGAAGGGAGAGAAGGAAAGAAAGAGAGGAAGGAGAAGAGGAAGCACCATGCCTGGATGAGGCCTGAAAACAGGAAGAGACAGAACATGTCGTTCATGTACACACTAAACACGCACATGTGGAGAACAGCGGTGCATGTTTTATAAGAACACAAATGGAAAAGACACCCATTAATATGATGGCCAGGATGTGCTTCCAAATAATAGGTCAGCGGGAGAAAGTGGGGGTGCAGATGAAACAAGATTGGCCACAAGTAGATCATCATGGAGCCTGGGAATGGGGAGGGGGGAATGAATCAAACAAAATGAAGTTCAGCAAACTCAAAGGGAGTCCAGAGAAGTGGAAGAAAGGAGGGAGGGCCGGGAGAGGGAGGGCCGGGAGAGGGAGAGGCCCGGGAAATCAGGAGCAGGAGAGGAGACCTCTCTATCCCAGGGCCCCTCTTCTACTTGGTGAACGCCATCCAGAGTCCACCTGAATAGCCACAGAATTCCAGAGCCAAGTAACTTTGGCGACATTCCAATCACTCCCTCCTTTACCAATGAGGACCCTGAGGTGCTGGAAAGAGAGCACCTTGGGCACATCACACAGGACACCATAGGAGGAGAGTAAGCCCGACGCCCAGTGCTGGGTTCCTAGCCCTTTCTAAAACGAGACGGAACAAGAAAACCAACAAAAGCCACAACTTTGGAGTCAGCCAGACCTAGCTCAGAGCCCACTTCTGAAACTGTGGTCTTGAGCAAGTTGCTCAGCCACTCTGATCAGCAGCTGCCCAACGGGTACAGGCACCTTAGCAGGGATCCGGGAGGCAGAAAGGCGGGCCTTACCCTTGACTTCTAGAGAAAGGGAAGCACCACCACAAGTGTTAAAGGAAGGAGATATGCTTAGCTCAGGGCTTGAGTGTCTGAGAGGCAGCCCTGGAGTCCCGGTCCCTTCCGCTGCTGGGAAGGAATAGCAGCATGCAGCTCCCCTCAGGCTCTCACCTGCACCACCTGGGTGAAGGTGTTCCTGGCCTCCTGCACCTGCTCTCCTTGACCTTGCTGCCTCTGGTCCCTATCGGCCTGGGAGCTCTCAGCCTCGGGCTGTTCTGTCCGCGTGTGCTCGCTTACAGACACCAGGACGTTCTCGGACTCCTGAGATCCACTGGGCTCTAGCCCTTCGGTCGTGGTGCTCGTTCTCTGGAATAAGTGTGGGTCTTGCGTGACCTCCTCTCGCCAGGAACCTTGTGCAGCATCTTGCAGGTATGAGACAATGGAGCCGTCTGGATCCCAGTCCTGCAGTCTGGGGTCCAGGGGAGGCAGCAGATGGCCGGCCGGGGAGAGAGAAAGGACACCTGGTCACCCATCAGTCTCACTCCTTTTAGACGCTCTCCCCCTCCAGAGCTCTGGCTCATCAAGGACACGGACTGTCCTCTCATCCCCCCAAAGGTCAGGAGCACGTGAGCACACTGCCCACCTCACTGCTGTGGTTCAGAGGGGTACACGTGGCCCATCTAATGCTGTCCAGGTGGAAAGGCCACTGGTCCCTCCCTGTGGGTGAACGGCTCGCCCTTGGGGCTCCCAGGGCACTTGGCTCACCCTAATGGTCCAAACACTGGGGCCTCCACTCTCATCCCACATCCTCAAACTCTGCCACCACCTCCTTCTGCTCTCTGGGCCCTTCCCATTCAGCAGTCCTCATCTGACAAGGTGCTCATTCTCTCCCCCTCGAGACACATTCTCCTGTGGCTCCTGGAAGGTGCTGGCCTGGCGTCCCCCCTTCCTCTCTGGCCACTGTTGCTCCATGTCCTCTGCTGATTCCTCATAACTTGCCTGACTTCTAAACATTGGAGCGCCCTGGGATTCAGTTCTCAGACCTCACCACTGTCCACATCCGCTTCCTAAGCAAGCTTGTTCATCCCATGGTTCCAAAGCCCATCTCTACACTCAGCCTGCCTGGATGTGTGTCTCCAGCTCGGCTCTCCTCCTCGAACTACAGCTGTGTGCATCCCGCTGCCTCCTCCACATTTCTACTTTGTTGTTTTCTGAGACAGTGCTTCACTCTGTCTCCCAGGCTGGAGTGCACTGGTACAATCACAGCTCACTGCAGCTCTGCACTCCTGGGCTCAAGCCATCCTCCCACCTCAGCCACTTGAGTAGCTGGGGCTGCAGGCACATGCCACCACGTGCAGCTATTTTAAAAATTTTGTAGCGATGGGTCTGGCTCACGGGTCTACTTTGGATCTCTACTCAGCATCTCCAGGACAGTGAGATCCAATCCACACTCAGAATCTTCTCCCCTAGCCTGTCCCACCCCATCCCTGCTGCCATCCCAAGTATCTTCATCCTTGCAGCAGGCAGGTCGAGGATATCACTGCCCTCCTTGACCCCTCTCTTCCTCTCTTACCCCACATTGTATTTGCCAGCAGATGCTTCTGAAATATGTCCTGCACCCACCCACCTCTCAGCACGGCCACCGCTGCCGTTCCAGCCCATAAGCCCACGGCCCTTTCCTCCCAATGCACCTCCTGCTTCTCTGCCAGGTTGCGCCAGCCTCCTCTCAAGGCAGGTGCAGCTTACCCTGCCCACCCTCCCCTCCCTAGCTTCGTGGGCTTGGTTACTCTGTTAGGGCACGTGCCAGGCACGGTCTCCTTCACAGGGCTAGGCCTTCTATGGGGCATCCTCCCTGAGATGTCCTCACGCTCACCCTCAATTCCTTGAAGTCTCTCAGCTGGCACTCATGCAGGCCTCCCCTGGCCGCCCATCTGTAATTCCAGCCGGCCTTCTTTCCACACACACTCCTACCTCCTGTCCTCCTTCCCGGCTTGATTTTTCTTTTTAGCACATATTATCTAGAATTTCTGTTTTAATGACTTCTAATTTTATTTACTTTATCTTGTTTCTTATTAGTTTCCCTGCTAGAACCACGCTTCTTGCAGGTAGAGACTTTCTTCTGTTTCATTCCATGCCGGCACCCAGGCACTCTTTATAGGTGCCTGGCACACAGTAGGCACTCAATAAATATTGTTGAGTGAGTGGATGAAATTCATCTGTCCCCATTAGAAGGCTGACCAAGGTCACCGCGCCAGGAAGTGACACAATAGGCCTAGAGCCCAGGCGTTCCTGTCCCCAGTTAGCAATGCTGGGTAATGCAGGGGCCAGCGTTCAGCCCCCGCAGGTGCTCAATAAATGCTTGTTGAAGGAACGGCCGTCCCAGGAAGGTGCTCTCTCCCGGGAAGGCCACTGTTTCACTTCACACCGGCTTAAGCTCCATCTGTTCAATCCTCCCCATGAATCCAAGGATTTGTGTAGGAAAAAAAATCGAATCTTTGGTGTCTCAACTTCCAAACTACTTCCTTTCCCTTCCTGTTAGGGCATTGGGGCTACGCTGAACGGATCCTGTGGAATGACCCTACCAGCCTGGGCCTCAGGGTGGGACTGAGGGGTCACACAGGTGGGGAAAGGACATGAGAATAGCTTTCCTTTACCTGGCCAGTCCTGAGCTCCTTGGGGTGGGGGCCTGGAACAGCTGCCTGGGGGCACAAGAACCGTGTCCTTTCTTTAGGGAAAACTTAGCAAGCCAGGTGACCTGAAGGAAAGGGGATTCCTCTGTCATCTGCTTCCTGTGCTAGCCCAGGAGGACAACGTGAGCCCCACCTCATGTCTGTCTCATCTCTTTCTGTAACTGCAAGGGCCTGGCTTGCCTTGGCATCCTTCCCTGCACTCAGCGGAGGGGCGTAGTGTGGACACAGTAGGCACTGTGTGGGCCCAGATGGGACGATGAGAGCTCCAAGGTGAGCCTGCCCTCGGCTGCAGACTCGCAGTGTCTGGGAAATGCACCCCCTTCTCCTGACCTGCCGACGCTGCTTTTCTGCTGCAGCACGGGGGGTGGGGGGTCTTCTCAGCCCAGAAAGCTTGGGGAGGAGAGACCCACTGCTCTACAGCTGAAAGCTCTGTCCTGCCCCAGATAAGCCCACCAGCTCCTCCTTCAAAGGGGATAAGTAGGGAGGGCGCCATTCTCAGCTCCATCACATGCAGGCTGTGTGACTGCACACAAATAACTTCCCTGGGTACTGGTGCTTCTAAATATGGTCTTCAACTAAATATGGCCTTCAACCGGAAGCACGCAGAGGGAGAGGAGCTCAGAACACCAGCTCCAGCAGCACACTGACCCATAGTCTCCCCCAGCCTCATCATTGCTCTCCTGTATGAGCCCTCTGTGTGCCCTCACGTCCCTAAGCAAGCCCTCCCCATGCCCCAGTGTTCCTAAAAGAGCCCTCTCCGTGTCCTAATATCCCTAAGTGAGCCCTCCGGCGCCCTGATGTCCCTAAGTGAGTCCTCCAAGCCCCTAATGTCCCTAAGTGAGCCCTCCAAGCCCCTGATGTCCCTAAGTGAGCCCTCCTGGTGCCCTGATGTCCCTAAGTGAGCTCTCCCAGCACCCTGATGCTCTAAGTGAGCCCTCCCAGTGCCCTAATGGCCCTAACTGAGCCCTCCCAGTGCCCCAGTGTTCCTAAGTGGGTCCTCCCTGCAGCCTAATGTCCCTAAGTGAGCCCTCCTGGCACCCTAATGTCCCTAAGTGAGCCCTCCTAGTACTGTTATGTCCCTAAGTGAGCTCTTCCGGTGCCCTGATGTCCCTAAGTGAGCCCTCCCAGCGCCCTAATGTCCCCAAGTGAGCCCTCCCAGCCCCCTAATGTCCCCAAGTGATCCCTCCCATCGCCCTAATGTCCCTAAGTGAGCCCTTTCCATGCACTAATGGCTCTAAGTGAGCAATCCAGGCACCCTAATGTCCGTAAGTGAGCTCTCCCAGTACCCCAATGTCCTAAGTGAGCCCTCCTAGTGCCTCGATGCCCTAAGTGAGCCCTCCTGGCACCCTACTGTCCCTAAGTGAACCCTTCCAGCTCCCTAATGACCCTAAGTGAGCTCTCCCCACACTCTAATGTCCATAAGTGAGTCCTCCTGGTGCCCTAACATCCCTAAGTGAGCCCTCCCCACACCCTAATGATCCTAAGTGAGTCCTCCCGACACCCTAATGATCCTAAGTGAGTCCTCCCGGTGCCCTAATGTCCCTAAGTGAGTCCTCCCGACACCCTAATGATCCTAAGTGAGTCCTCTTGGTGCCCTAATGTCCCTAAGTGAGTCCTCTCGGTGCCCTAATGTCCCTAAGTGAGTCCTCCCCACACCCTATGTCCCTAAGTGAGTCCTCCTGACACCCTAATGATCCTAAGTGAGTCCTCCCAGTGCCCTAATGTCCCTAAGTGAGTTCTCCCCACACTCTATGTCCCTAAGTGAGTCATCCCAGTGCCCTAATGTCCCTAAGTGAGCCCTCCCCATGCTCTAATGTCCCTAAGTGCTAATGTCCCTAAGTGAGCCCTCCCCATGCTCTAATGTCCCTAAGTGAGCCCTCCTCATGCTCTAATGTCCCCAAGTGAGCCCTCCCCACGCCTCCCAATGTCCCTAAGTGAGCCCTCCCGTGCCCTAATGCCCTAAATGAGCCTCCCAGTGCCCTAATGTCCCTAAGTGAGTTATCCCCATGCCCTATGTCCCTAAGTGGACCTAAGTGCACCTCATGTCCCTGAGTGAGCCCTCCTGTGCCCTAATGTCCCTGAATGAGCTGTCCTGGCACCAATGTTCCTGGTATGAGCCCTCCTGGCGCCCTAATATCCCTAAGTGAGCAATCCAGGCACTTAATGTCCGGTAAGGAGCTCTCCCCAGTACCCCAATGTCCTGCGAGCCCTCCCAGTGCCTCGATGCCACTCCCAAGTGAGCCTCCTAGCACTTACTATCCCCAAGTGAGCCCTCCCAGCTCCCTAATGACCTCATGAGTCCTCCCACACTCTAATGTCCATAAGTGAGTCCTCCCGGTGCCCTAACATCCCTAAGTGAGCCCTCCCCACACCCTAATGATCCTATGAGTCCTCCCAGTGCCCTAATTTCCCCTAAGTGAGCCCTCCCCATGCTCTAATGTCCCTAAGTGAGCCCTCCTCATGCTCTAATGTCCCTAAGTGAGCCCTCCCCACGCTCTAATGTCCCTAAGTGAGCCCTCCCCGTGCCCTAATGCCCCTAAATGAGCCCTCCCAGTGCCCTAATGTCCCTAAGTGAGTTATCCCCATGCCCTATGTCCCTAAGTGGACCTAAGTGCACCCTTATGTCCCTGAGTGAGCCCTCCCAGTGCCCTAATGTCCCTGAATGAGCCGTCCTGGCACCCTAATGTTCCCAAGTGAGCCCTCCTGGCGCCCTAATATCCCTAAGTGAGCAATCCAGGCACCCTAATGTCCGTAAGTGAGCTCTCCCAGTACCCCAATG